TGTCATGATGCCAGAATGCAAATTTCAGACAAATGCCAGGTCAGTACTAGCGAGAGGACTGTTGGTATGGGATTTCAAGAGTTACACAGCGCAACCCACGAAGTGTTTAAACCAGCCTATGTAGGCATCAGCCTCTGATGAATGGACTGCTACATGGGCTATTTTTTGGTCAGGGCCACCAGATGATGATCCGTCCAATTGTGCGTGCCTGTCAAGCTCACGAATACCGGTTTTGATGTTGATAGTCGATCAACCAGGAAAATACTACTCCAGTCTCTCGGACAGTGCAGTCTTCATGTTACAAGACGGATGTAGATAGTTAACAAGGCCAACTAGGAGTTGTGGTTTTTGTTGGGACTAGGAAACACTGAAATTCCGCATTCTACCAAGCTTATCCGCATTATGGTGTGTGGCGTGTGCTTGCCGGCGAAGTTGACTGATCCAAGATTCCTCGGAAAGAGCCAGGAACAGTCAGCGCATGCTAACTGGGCGACCACGTTCGATGGTGAGCCACCACGTTAGCTTTAGCTTTTCGGCACTTGTCACATTCCTCACATTTGAGCCCTACGAGCCTGTCCTGGGTACTAGTTGGAACTGACGCGGAGGCGCCAGACAGTTAGTATTGCTGAAAGTACCCAGCACAACGAAACCAAACAGGGTTGTTAGCCCCAACTGGATTTGCTTTACTTTAAGCTCACGCACACTGACTTACAGGCTACCAAGACTTTTAAAAACCCCGGCCAATTTCGGTAAATAATGGATACACCAAAAGAGCTACTGAGGTGCTTACTCATGGTAGTCCAAGAGAACATGACTAATAACTATGTGGTACATGTCATCAGTCTCATATTGATAATATAGTCGTTAATTCGAAGAAGCGCTCTGTTACTGTGTCCGACTTCGAAGGTTTTGGCTATGTTGTGGATTGAAATAGATATGGGCAAAATTCTGACTGTCTTACCCCCAGCGCCCATAAATCCTATTCCTGAGGACATTCATAGGCCTGGCTCCATTGATGGTGATTTGGATTAGTACTCACGATTTGTATAAAGCTTCATTATAAGTTGGCGGGCGCTACTAGACGGGGCACCTTAATCCTGCGCTGGGTGCCTTCAGGAAGGGTTGAAGACAAAGCATGAAAGTTTCATAGAGGTTGCAGGCAAGCCACGTATTGTGATAGCTCAACATTGATCCTGAGGTGCTCTGAAAGGCGAGTTGTTTTGAGAGTCGACATAAGTCCAATAAAATAATTCAGTGAGTACGTGACCAATCATGTAGGTAACTATAAAGTCTATCGATTGGTCTTGTGTTAAATGAGACCAGCCAGTCAATGGTGTGCATGGATTTCGATGATTTTTCGTGTCGGATGCATCATACTGATCTGATACGTTTTAAACACAGGTCAATCCGCCCCGAGGCTGGTTCTGTCTCCCAGTCCTAATGATGCTTCCGTGAGCACTATCAACAGACAACCCAATGCAAGCACAGTAAGATCCGCACGATTGTACACAGAGCCTGGACTACAGAAATCTCAAGATTAATCCTACCCATGGTGCCGTACTTTGTATATTCCCATATTATATTGATGAACTAAACCCGCGATCATTGCAACATTCGATCCCGGATTCGGAGTTTTGATTTGGATTTGATTTAGAAATCATTGTATACACATGCGGATTCCAATTGAGGGCTGGGAAGATGTCGATGCGTACTGAGATGATATGGTCGTCTACGTTGGTGACCACGGTGCATGTAACGGGGATACTACTAATGCAGAAGCATGCGAGTAGTACGTTTTCTTGCACCTTCGCTCCGCGTCTATTAAGAAGCGCGATCTATTAAGGGATTTGTGGAGGTGCTTTGTAGCATTTGCTTGGATAGGGCAACAGTCAAATAATGTGATTTCGCTTCCCTGTCCAATAATCTGTTCTCCTGGGCAGCTGTATCAGTTCCGGTGGTCTGGCGAACGATGGTACTTCCATCCGGATCGAGAAGGCCAGAGCAGCTTCTGTGAACCTACGTCACAAGTGGGGTAGGTGGGACATCAGCTTCTGTGTCAAGGGTCGAGTTCACAATGCTGCGATCCGCTCCATATTACTATATGCATCAGAAACCTAGCCGCTGCGCGCCGAAGACGTCAAAAGAATTTCAGCATTTGACCACCGATGTCTTCGGAGCATTGCCTGAAACTGGTGGGATTACCGGATCAGCAATTCTGAAGTACGTCGAATGGTATTCGGGAGAAATAACCCACCCTCGATAGATGAACTAATCACACTGCAGAGGTTGCTCTGGCTTGGCTACGTGTTGCGTATTCCAGTCGACCGACTCCCTCGAAGGGCTCTTTTCGCACAACCATGTGAAGGGTGGAAGAGAGCCAGAGGCGGCCAAACAAAGACTTGGCAGCGAAGTAGGAAAGCCATCACCGGCAAACTCAGCTGCGCTGGTCACTGTCGTCTTCCTGGATAAGGACCCAGGGACGGGCCATATCAATGGCTAGAGACATTGACAGACATGGCCCAGTTGCGCCCTCAACGCATAGCCCCTTTTCCAACCCCAACCCCCACTTGACAGCCCACTGACTGCTGCAATTTTGCACCAATTTGTCAGCTCCCGCCTGCAATGCGCAGGTACCTACCCCCCTTCGAATCATCGGTGAACGGAACTGCGGCAGCTACAACCACCGTACGACGAGTACGCGGTTATTGCAGCTGACAACGATGATGAGTCTGTTTCCCTGCACCTGACTTCCCTACAGTAGTGAAACTAGTGAGTCCGCTTAGTTTCAGATTAAACCACATTCTTGAGACAAAACTCGCCATGTGTTCCCAAGTTGAATTATTTCATCCCGATCTCCAGCTTTTGCTCGTTGTGACTCCTGCCATTTACGTAACCGTCCAAGGTCACTCATGGCCAACAATGGTTTTCAGCTTTAGTTCATGACAGCCGGCTATGTTTGCGAAATAGTCGGACCTCATGCCCATTGTTCCCAACAAGATGGAAGAGAAACTTTTTACTGTTATTTAATCGGACATTTCCCACTGTTTACGACATTGTCCTCTTCTCGCGCAATCCGCATCCTCACAAATCCCTCAGTCATGCTTCATTCTAACTGTGAACATGTGGTCATGTTAGACGGTATGCCACCCACAAGGTGGGAACAAACATTATCATTAGTATTATCATTATAACCGGCCAGTTGGCATTTTCTAATAAATAACTACGCAGCGAAGGCCCTATTGCTTTACATTTGGTGCCGTGACCAGGATAAGGATGAAGATTCGTGTCCACAACCCTCCGAGAATGGGGTTGTTAGGACCTACTTGGAAGACTTTGAGGAGTTTGCAGAGGCTGCTGGACTGGGTGCCGACCGGAGTAAGTTGGTGGCTCTGAAGGCCCTTCTCAGGGGCCGGGCGAGGGTGGCCCTATTTGTGACCAGAAGAGGCCCTCGGAAGATGAAGTGGGCCGCCGCGAAAGAAGTCCTTGCGTCGGAGTTCGACACGGCGGTCGACCGCCAGGAGGCTATGAGGCGGTTCAAGACGGTCAGAATGGCGCTTGGACGGAATGCCGCGCCACCAGTCGCTGTCGGACCAGTTTGTCGAAGGTGTGCAGCCGGTGCTTGGTGCCCATTTGGGGTCGGCGCGAGCAATTGGCCAGCTGAATGTGGAGGAGCTGGTGCGTCTGGTCCGGGAATTGCCCGAGGCACCACTGGCCGCGTTCCAGCCCCTGGAGAATAGGGATGGTTCACCAGCGGAAGAACTGTAGACGGGAGTGGACCAACTCGCCGAACAGCGTGCAGTCATGAGGACGGAATCGCGGAGGCACCCTCGAACGAGCCGGTGCTACATGTGTGGCAAGCCTGGCCTCTGTTAGAATCAGTATCCCCGTACCCAATCACAAGTACATAATAAAACTCTAGAGTACTCCTATTTTCCTGGGTGGGTCGCGAAAAGCACACTGACGCAAGCTACCATACAGACCGTTGTCGAGTTAGACGAAAGGAGGGAGTTACGTTTGGTTGAAAATCGTTGCATACCCGTAGAAGTTCCATTGGAGGACCGGGAAGATGTCGATGCGCACTGAGACGATATGACCGTCTATGCTCGTACAAACAGTAAACATGGTCAATATCTACTTGTTGTCAACCCATCAGTAAATCACAGAAGTTTGCTTTCACATACGACTCTACTTATGTCATGTTCCTTATGCTTCATTTTCCGCACTTTGCTCATTTATTGGTGGGATGCAAAATTTGTGCCCAACTCCACAGTGAAAGCAATTTGCTTGCCTGAATCAATTTCGGTTAAATCTCTCCAGTGGTTCGATTTTTGAGCCTCACGCGAGAGGTGTTCTGGAATCCTAAACGATGGACGCTGCCCTACACTCATTTTCGTCGATGCTTTCCCAACAGGTAATAGTGTCACACTTGAACAGGAAGGTAGTCCGGGAGTGTTTCCCAAATTTAAACCATGTATCCACTAATGATTTATCGACGCACTCAGCTTGACAGCGGTTCCAGGTCGTATGCACTCGGGCGACACCGAATAACATGAAACGCTGCGTCGACGAACCTGGAGGCACAGCGTAGAGCAGGCAGGTCGGTCATCCCAATGAACCGCAATGCACATTTACACCGTTGGGTAGTGCAGATAGTCAGCGAGTTGGGAAACCTTACAACAACCCCGGCTGATTCGAGAATGCGATCGACTGATTTGGTGCATTAGAAGGATCGTGGATAGGAATCGAGTGTTGTTTGCGGCGGAACACTGAGTAAAAGCTTTCAGAAAATACATGGCCAGCTCTTGATTTGGAAGACTCCGTACAAACGTGCCGTCAACATTCATGTCCGGGTCGGTATAGATGGCATGGGCTACGTCAAGCACAACCAGGGAACAACGATTTCCCAGTAATTGGCTGAATTAAACTGATAAGCAATTCGTATTATGAAAATTTGCCCAGTTTTTACCCAGGGAACCAAGCAACAAATAAGCGGGAGAAATAGCGGAACTATTGCTAAAGGTTGATATGTAACGTCCAAACTGACCAAATACACATTGATACTTGAAAAATGGAATAACGAAGTTAGAACCGCTCCAAACAACAAAACTAAGAAAGGAATCCAACAAACGATATCACATGTGCACAAAAAGGAGTGGCTGCATAGGGTGTTACCGAAGTGTGAAATCCAACCCTGGTGATCTGGTAATAAGATGAAGGGTTATACAGAACAGAATGAGATTTCGAAGCAATAAGAGTGCACTGTTTGGTATGAGAAGGCGTCTGAGTCGCGCTGTGATGTTGCGCAATTCACAACACACGCACACGAAGACGAACGAAGTGAGTGCAAGGTTGAACAAAGGGTAACCGGGTAGCAAAACAAGTATACCATTTGCGTCGGCTGACAACCAGATATGATGCTGAGCCACGTAAAGCTGAGTGTATCAGAAAGAAAGAGATAGTGCACAGTGTTTAGTATATGTGGCAACGCGACAAAACAATCTCTAAAGAGGATGCCATAAAGCAGACAGCAATTGTTTGGTTGCGAGACACCACAGAGACCTGATACGATCGTGAACACATTTTGGCGGTCTCGGTTCTTTGGTAATTCATACACGCTTCATGCGGATGCACACAAGCCGTGTGGAGCTAACGTGGATAAAAGTGACCTTATTTCATGACTTGGTGCAAGGTGCACTTCTGTATTTCTTTTCACTGAGACCGAGAGGATTTTACTCCAGAAAAGACAATTCAAATCAGTTCTCGACTGAGAGGTAGTTTAAGAAGGTTCTCATAGAGAGATGCCCACTCGAAAAACTAAAAAAGTGGCTATAACGATGTTTGTATGACTGATACAGTCAAAAGACTGCCACACATTCGGAGAAGTTCAATGTGATTTAGGATGCATCCAGGGTAAGCAAACGTACCAGTTGGCATGATCAAAAGGTTTATTAGGGCAAGGACAGCATGCATTTCCACATTTTTGGAATAACTGTCTTTTTGTCACTAGCATGGTCTTCAAGCACCTCGATTCCTGTCTACTTGCCTTGTAGAAGACCAAATCAATGGCTTTCGACCCGAATGTAGCTCATCTTTGCTGGACCTGGTTTAACAGTCCTTTCGCACAACCAGAAAATTCCTATGCTACTGGATATAAGTAGCTCGGATTGTTGATTTGTTCGCTGAGCTGGGAAATCTGATTGCTAACGCTTCATCACCAATCGATATGACATTGTCACACATCCAATCCCGCACTGAGGACGCACCTCGACTGGTGATGAAACGTTTGCCAAGCTTGGCGAATAGACCGACAACCAAAACTCTGATGACAACCACGCAATAGTTAATCCGAGAAATCTGAAATGAAAGCTCCTGTTGCCGTTGCAGCAAAATGCTCTCGGTGGTTCTATGAGCACCAGCCACCTGTCCGCCAAAAAAGGGAACTCCTGATTTCAATTGGTTCGGGACGGAAAGACACTTTCCTGGCCCAATTACACCTGGCAAAGTGTTTCATGCTTGGTAAGGACAGAAAAAGATCTACTACGAATCGGGCATGTACTGTGTGCAATTACGAGAAACTGCCTAGGGCGCAGGTGGACGTACTTACATCAGCAGGGAATTTAGGTAAACACGCACATGGAATTATCATAAAATACGAGGAAACAACTATTACAAGAACACATTCATTTATGGAGTTATGTAACCGTAGTACAAAAGCCTCATACACAATCATCATGTGAGATATAGAATGGGCATGTTACAAGCAGCATGTCACAAGAAGCATGAGCTAGCCTGCCTATGTTCTCCAATCAATGTTACGGATTCTAAGAGACAAGCATTTGAATTACAATCAAGCGACTCCTCCGTATAACTGTCAAATGCATAATGTAGTACCTCTCTGTACCTTGACCAAAGTGATATCCTTCGCCCAATGACTGTGGTCACTGAGTACATTCCAAAGCGTGCACATAGGACGTAGGGCATGGGGACGGTGACTTGCTACAAAAAGACACCTGCAATATTTACTGCAGCGCCAGCTTCTGACCAAATGACGAGTGGTTTGAACCAACCGATCTTTTACTCGCTTCTGCTCACGTTTGGACAGCTCAACAGCATCTCAACCTTCGTGATGTGTTGGATTGCAATACAGCCATCCGCCCAGACTGACATGGCGGAATCTTACCAAAGAGTGAACACGGATAGCAAGTTAAAAGATTTAGATAATGTGTGTTGTAGCGTCAACAACACTTACCTCCAACGAGATGTCACCAAACCATGCAAACAGAGTACTGTGGCTGCGACGAAGCAGGCCCAGGCAATTTCTCAACAAAATGTACGAGATAATCTACACAAAAGTAAGAAAAAAAACGGGAAATTCTGAGCAAAATGGATGGAAACGGTACAGTCTAAGTATAAATTGAACGAAGCAATCATAGCGAATTCCGAAGTTCCACACTCTACGGTAAGACAGAATCAGAAAAAATCAAACCGTGTATGAAGTCTACAGAGGGGTGTGTAAATTGCCGCAGTCAAGGAACCAGGCGAACCCGTGAACCAGTTTTATCGACAACTTCTACTTACACCCATTGGATGGGTGCGTATAGAGTAAAAACAAAGTAGGTTTTAATTTGAGAGCTCACACTTTAGCCTTCACAAGTGTGACAGTCTGTCTGTTAGTTCTTCACTGCCCGCACGGGACATAGCCAAAGTAGTGATTAGTCCGAAATCGCATCAAAATTAGTTTTTGCCGAGAGAGTAGGTCGATCAAATAGTCCCAGAAGTGCACTATCCCATTGATAGATGCCAACTAAAAGTAGTGATTAGTCCGAAATCGCATCAAGCTTAGTTTTTGCCGAGAGAGTAAGTCGATCAAATACAGTCCCAGAAATGCACTATCCCATTGATAGATGCCAACTGTCGAGCTACGCAGCTCCTGAAATCCATCCATCCAACTGTTGATGCAAAGCATCTCCGCAGTAGAAGGCTGGAGAAGGATGCACCCGTTTTTTGTGTTCCATTTAGTTGTCAGTTGTGGAAGATGGTGTTTTGAATGCGACAGGCGCGATTCATCGGTCAATGTACGCAACCCGAAATTTTGCCTTGAAATCGACTAAAGTGCGCCTCCAAGTGTGAACTCAAATTTTGAATGCCTGACATGCAAACGACCTCGTGAATTGGGCTTATTGTGGTTTAACGTCTCACAAAACCTAGACTGTTCCAACGGCGACATTGGAGAACTAAAAACCTAGAAATATTCACACACTGATACCCTATATTCATCATCATCATTATTGACATGACATCAGTGTTCAACACTGCTTCCTATATTGGACTCTGAAGCTCTCAATTATTAGCGATTTCCGGCACAGCTCTTGTAGGTTTACCCCGATCGCGAAGTTGGGCACCCAACTGATCGCTAAAACTATAACCTGTGGGTTGCATCTGGAGCATAAGGAAAAACCGCGCATATTCGGACTTTCCAACCTAACAGAGCTGTGGAAAAAGGACAAGCAGGTGTCTCAAAATTCTCAGGCTGTATACACTGTAGTCTCCTCGTCAAGTAAGAAAATTTGACATCAACGGTTTCGTCCATCCTAAGACACAAATCAGGGGGCTATCAAAAAATACGTACAAGTTAGTGTTCCATTAGGACATCCGAGGACTGGACCTGCATGATAGCCTCAATAATGGGGGAAACCGGTGGTGGGCTGTCTACTGAAACATTGAAACGCACTGCAATATCTTGAAAGTCACTTTGAACTTCAATTGAAATATTAATCAGTCCATCTGTGCAGTATATTTAGTGGCAAATTATTACCAGCAAGGGAATGATGTGAAGTTCAACCGGGTTCTCTATCAACACTACGGAATATGCTGTTGATATTCCTGTCCAAAATGTCCTTTCGAGTCCTACGCTGTGCAGCACGACACTCGCGTTACATCTTCCGAATGTTCCACTAAAATGAAATTCAATCTACCGGGACACCAAAGCAGTACGAGAAACGCAGGAACGAAATGCTTGTGAATCGTAAAACCAGACTGTGTCAATACTACAGAAAAATGGTATATATAAGCAGTGTATATAAGACTATAGTCCACACACAACGTATTCAATCGACAAATAGGAGAATGTTAGTTCAGCATGAAGCCCTTAGCGAAAGCGACACGATCGCCCGTAGTAACTGCGTGACTTAACCATATTTCACGCAACTTATAGGTAGATGGTTCTGGAATGTACCAGACGAATTGTTTGGAGGTGCAAAAGACAATGATCGCGAAAGGTCGATTAGCAAAGCTGAAAAATCGATGAGAAACGAATGTCAGTACAAACCTACCGGAAGAAGACACAGGAATGTATGGACTTCAGTACAAAAGCCATGGTCTTTGCATTGAAACGAAATCAGTATGTAAACCTGAAGAGGGCCAAAGAACGAAAGGAATTACAGTAAGGCCTTCTAAACATTACAACTTGACAACGAGGTAAACAGCCATGCAGGTGAATGGACTACATTGCGCGAATGAGTTACCTAGAAAGAATTATTTGTGAGGAGGGGGGAGGAACTTCTGTAGTTAAACATCAGTTAAACGCCTCTCTTAGACGAGCATTCGAGAAAAGAACAAGTGACAGGGTATGATATCGGCCCCACCGAACTCTCAGCAATTAGCTCAACGCTATGAAATTACGTGTCCCCACCCCCAGTGCTCCAGCTCATGAGCAGTCGCACGATGAAAGGAGTAATGTTCTTCTAAAAAAACAAGCTCAGAGCCACGAATCAGGAGTAAAGTCTCATTTGGACTTCACCTTGTCAATATTTCCCGATAACGTTGAGACAGCTGTGGAGGGTTTGCTAGCCTCGTACCGTGTGACCTGGCCCTCAAAGTCATAGGCATTGTAAATTATTACATTGGTACAATACTCGCTCTCTTCGATCAGTACGATCCTTCAAAGAAGGTTGCTTACACCAAAGTGACCAGACTTCACTTGCACCTAAGGTTCAAACAGCCTTTGGGTTGATAACTGTAGACTCCATAAATGGGGATCCCGGGACACTGGCAGACAGTGTTGAATCACCCAGTCGGGGGCTTCGTGCATCAGCGCTATCGCCTTCGACGCGTAGTTCCGCACTTTCCCAAACTAACTGATCATGCAATCACGTCCGATGCCTCGCTATCCCCCATGCCCTCCTATTCTGCGGTGACCGAAACTGTGGCAATCCGAACAGACGTACCCTGGACACGTGTTTTCGAATGTGTTTACTTGGTGGACAAATGTTGGAATTAAAAAAAAACAACTTCAACAGCATCAATCTTTTCGTTGGTATCCATAAATGGCCTATGAAGAGTTGAGCTATTTACTGACTAGTAACTCACCCGCGTAAAGGTGGTTTGGGTATCGGTAACGTAACAGGATGCACATATTGCGACACTTCATAGGAACTGAGCAATGCAGTATTTCAGTTAATTGCTCACAACCAGTTAACAAGCGACTCAGGCAAAATCCGGAGACATATAGACTGAAAGTCATCGAATCAACGGAGAAAGCTTGCCTTCACTAGTGGGTAAGGGCTTGCCGAGATGAACTGGCTAGTTTGGTTACAAGTTGATACGGTTAATAATCGAATTCACATTACAATGATGTATCAAATGCTCAGTTTACATACAGAATAAATTGATTATCGGTATGGTATGGTATGTATGCTTCACTGAAACCTCAAGCAGTGACACGTGAGGTGCCTAAATATTGGTAGCCAGGGTGACCAGCAGTCAACGGGTACTTAGCGTCGCCCAAGTGGATACCAAATTTCACAGTTCAGATCTTCTGATGTGTATCGGAATCGGGTACGATCAATGGCTATATGCGACCTGAGAACGAGCGCACGAATCCCCAAATATGACGCGAGCCCAACCACTCCTAGCGCATATATATATATCTTTAGGGGGAACTTGGAAAGAGATAAAACAGTTAATGCACACAAAGTATAACTGGCCAATTGGAACAGGGCGCGGTGTTTTTGGATTGAGCTGCAACAAGACGGAAAACGCGCAAAATTTAAAAATTCAAAATTTTTCAAAACTAATTCGGCAATAACTCGATAAATAAGGCCTTTCTGGGGATACTGACATCCCCAACACCTTCCCTTGCGGAAAAATGTCAGTAACGGGGTTTTCGGGGGTCCATTTGAAAAGGAGTGGTTTGGCGTCAACGGCGATCTGTCTATCTTCTTGGTAGAAGGTTTGGTTCACTGGCTGATGCGTTTTGTGTTGCCGGCTGCGCTGCATCAGGTGTGGCGGCCTTCAGTTCGAAAATGTCAAGAAGTATGTCGAGTGGAAGGTCGCTCTGGGATGCCGGTGGCTCTGATAGATGGCATGGACGCAATTGATTCTTGTGTCGGGTTCAGATGTCTTGGCCAACATTACGCTCCCGCGTTTTCGTAGGACGTGTCCTTCGATCCAGCGCTCGTGCCTTGGTCGATAATCTCGAGCAAAAAGACTTGCACCTACTTGAAACTGGGCTGGTTTTGTGTTCACTTCAGGCCGAGAACGAGCCGTCGGTGCCGCACACATGGCCGAATTGGTAGTTCGCAATTTTCGGACCATAAGCGCTTCAGCGGGTGATTTCCGACCGTTTGGAGAGTCATTTGGAGTGGTCTGATGGACCAGAAGAAATCTCTGGAGGGCTCCCACGGGCGTCCCCCCTCGAGATTTGAGCAGCGCCCGCTTGAACGTATCGACAAAACGTTCTGCCTGACCGTTGGACTGCGGGTGGTATGGTGGCGAACGGACGTGCGTGATGGCGTTTCTCCGGCAGAACTCTTGGAAGCAGCTGGAGCAGAACTGTGATCCATTGTCTGATATCAAGGTCTCCGACAGGCCGTGCTGGCTGAAGAGCTGGGACGAGGCTCGTATGGTGTTCGTTGTCGTTGGCGGGACGACGGGCACAACTTCTGGCCATTTGGAGAAGGCACAGATCAAGATGAGGTATGTTACCCCATCAATAGGGCCAGCATAGTCGATATGCACCCGGGACCAGGGGCGTTCGGGTCGAAGCCAGGCAGCAGGCGGAAGGCATGAAGGGTTCTTCGCGGCTTGTTGACACTTCGAGCAGTCTCTGACGTAGTCGGAGACGTCGCGATCCATTGGTGGCCAGTAGGCGTAACTACGAACGATTGACTTCATCCGGTTTATTCCAGGATGTCGCGAATGAAACTAACGGAAAGCTCGATGGCGTAAAGCTTTGGGAATAACTACGCGATATCCAAACAGTGAACAATTGTTTATGATCGCTAAAGCATCTCGGTGATGAAGGAGCTGTCGAAGGCAATCATCTTTGAGGTTTGTAGGCCACCGAGAATTAACGAATTGGGTCGCTTTTTGAAGCGTTGGATCAGCCGTGGTAGCTCTTTGAACCTCTGTTACTGTCATGGGCAGTGCACGAACGGACTGGACCAACTGGAGTTGGCTGAGTCCTCGAAAGCAACCTGCGCAATAACCATGTCTTCTTCGGGAGCTGGCTGGTTGCTGATCAGGCGAGACAATGCATCGGCCTGACCGAAGTCGTAACCCAGAATAATCAGAGCCCATCTTTGCAGGCGGCTGGCAGAGTGAGCGGGAACACCTTTCTTCGAGCCAAAAATGGAGAGCAATGGTTTATGATCGGTGAGCAGGGTGAAACGGCGGCCATACAACATTTTGTGGAAACGCCGAACCGCGAACACTAAGGTCAACGCTTCTTTCTCTATCTGTCCGTATCGCTGTTCTGCTGAAGTTAGTGATTTCGACGCGTGCTGCCGTCATTCTACATGTCTTTCCAGACGGCACCGACTACACAATTGGAGGCATCAGCTGCCACAACAATCGGTAGCTTTGGGCTATAGTGGGTCGGTAGCAGATCAGAACTGACCATCGTTTTCAGCTTGCAGAACGCTTCCTTGCATTCTTCTGACCAACACCAGGGGATGTCTTTTCAAGGTAACCGATTGAGCGGAGGCCGGGTCGGAGAAGGCCATTATGCACGCGTCGAAATCACTAACTTCAGCAGAACAGCGATTCAATTTATCAGTAGATCGAGAGTTGGCGGGACTGCATTAGCCGTGGGAAAACAGAGTACGCATCTGATCCACAATGCTCGTGCTCACCAGAACACACTGATACTCACACTATTCGGGCAATGCAACTGAGATTAAGCATTCCAGCACGAGCAACTGCTTTCCAGCGATGTGGAGCTACGCTAGTTGAGGTTGTGAGCATGGATCAGAAAGATATCGATCCAGCAGTTAAATGAGCTTTTGATCGGCTTCACAATATACAAATCGTTGTTTGACTCAGCAAGCAAATGCCTTCTTGTCCGCCTAGTGAACATCCCTCATGGCTTGAGTACTATTCGGCCGCACTGAGATTATGAAGGCCAACCAGTGCGATTGTACGCCCATGCATTAGTTTTTAGTCCTATTAGGTTTTTTAATTTGATTCGAAGGTCTCATGTGTACCAAGCTCGGAGGTAAAACCTCTGAACCCCATCCCGGTGGTGAGCTTTTCGTGATCTACACTAATCGATGAACCATGAGTTGAAATGTGTTCAACTGATTCTGAAACGGCATCGTAGTTTTCACCAGAGTTATCCACTATCCGTATTTTGTTCAATTTTGGCGTTTGTACCATCTTAGATTGGACTCCCCAAGGGATCGTCTGTCCGGGTCTCAAAATCACAGCAAAAAAGGGATTAGCATACTTGGATTACGCGGGTTACATAGTTATGTACGCACTACCCTAGATATGTTATTGGAATGACTCCTTTCCCCTGTTTCAGCATGCAGCCTCCACCTTGAAAGTGCGAGTTCTTCAGGATTTCCCACTCTCTTGGGGCTCCTAATAGGTATATTTGTTTTGGCTACTACGTAAGCCATATATAAGCTTCATAAAACTGTGCCTATCGGCAAGCACGTTGTGATCCGCTGGTCGGACTGTATTCAGAAAACGCTGCAGTGTGCCGTATGCATAAAGTTGAATTCTTGTTATTTCTTACAAAGATCTGTTACAAGTATTGCATGCTCACAACAAATAGAACCAGATAAGCATTAGCAAGTTCATATCCAAATTCCAACAAGGTAGCTGCCTATGCAGCTCCTGCTTGAATAGCCAAATGCAAAGGAGAATTCAAATGCAAATACCACCAGCGGTCGAAATGAAGGAACGATGCTTCGGCTGTCGCTCACTAATTTGCATGCCCATATCGGGCACCTGTTGAGAAGCAGTTACCCAAAGAGCACAGTGATGACACTGCACAAATGAACTTTCTTCCGTGAGATGCTCGTGGAACAGCTCAACCTTCTATCTAAACGTCACACTGATAAGCATGTGTTTGTCCTCCAGCTTGTTTGTAGCAGCCTATCATCGTCTGCGTTTCGTTACTTTGCTAATGCAGATAATTAGACAATTCAGTGAGGTCATTGTTCCTCACATGAGAGAGTATCCACAGTCTATAATCAAGTGGAAGAACCTTTTGTGTCGCACCGCTAGGAGTATGGTGCAAATGCAATGGTATCAGATTGACAGACACCACACAAGTAGCACCTGAACACACGCATAATCATCAACACGACTTCTGATGTGAGTAGCAGATCAAAGTTGAGACTGAATGTGGAAGTCCAGGGCTAATGTGTTAATTATCACACATAAAAGAATGTAGATTCCAGTCGTCATGCGAACACCATCATCATTCAGATTGGCATGCAGAATACCATCGGTATGTGTCTTCGCCTACTGCAACTGTCCTGTGAACAGTAGTAGTTCTGAGTGCTCGAATATGTGAAGATGGCCCTCAACGGTATACAAAGTCAAATTTTGTTCAATGAACTTTTCCATTGGCAAGCCATTCATGAGGTAACCTTCCTCTACCAGACCCACCTAACGCACTGACGAATATTTCTGCCTAAAGTACTCCCTCCGATTCGGACAACTACAAGAAAACCGGACATTTGGATTCTTCTGGGGGATAGTATATTGAATTGTGCGTGACGGAGGACATTGCTCTGTACTCTCCACCGAACCTCTTCAACCCCGCTCGGAGAGGTCTCTGTTCTCCACATCTCCATATGACGCGATGCACTTATTTGCGTATGAAAGCGTGGGGACCGTCGTGCTAATCGAGTGCTCTTTTATGATGTTAAAAAAAAACAAATTTGCGGCTGAATCGTAATTCTACGGTATAAAAAACAACGTATCAGATCGGAAACCCACCCCGATCCCGATGGCTCCGAGGACCGTCAGAAAGACTGCAGTGAAGCGGCGACATGTGATCTTTGACAGAAATCCAAAACCTGATCCCATGGTTTGAAACGTTGAAATGGAATATTGAGGTGATGTGTAGAAGCTCAGACGACCAGATGAAGGATCAAGTCTAGTTGAAGTGCTGGAATTCACTACCGAACCGTTGTTTGAGGCAGGTGGAATACTGGGCTTGTTCGCCAAAGACGATTCCACAAACTGGGAGGTCTCCAAGTTTAGATGATCAAAAGTAAAACGGTTGAAAGTTTCTCCACACCTGTCTGACGTGGATTTATGCGCAGCAATTGCGCCTGTCTGTAGTAACGGTGTGGCGAACTCCGCCGGCGGAGCAGGAAGACCCAGATCGCCCGATTTCAAGTCATTCAAACATTTGGCGCGCCTTGCCCACTCGCAGGCTAGGGCGAACAGAATACCGTAAACAACCGAATAACGGTCGATAGACCAACGGTAAAACCATGCATCACGTAACTCTGTACTGCTAGTTGGTTTATCGAAAGAGCTTCGGGATACCGTAGTCGATTGGAAGAGGAACCTTTGGACTCTAAAACAGGGCAGAACAGGAATCACTCAGTGGAGAGAAGCGGACTTCTTCGTGAAAACCAAAAAGCAGGAGAAAACAAAGGCTGATGTGGATATTCGCATCGTCATGAGTCAATTTTACCTAATTTGGTTTCTCTCCTACAAGTTTCTCAACGATCACAACGGGGATTACTGAAACAGCCATCGTTTTACCAAGTTAGAATACCCTCTTTGTTATGGACACTTAGTTCTAAAAGTTCAACAGTAGCGATAAAACATTTTGTGTGTGGATCTGACTGAGGAGGAAAAAACAACATTAGAGGATCTACGTTTGTTTGCTCTCGAAATATGTTCCCAACTACACCGATAGCCCGCCAGAGACTCTAGATAGGACCGTCTTAACTCAGGACTGCCGGCAGTCATCGAGGCCTCAAAATTATACACCCTAACAAGGGTAGAAGACAGTAAGCGGAAGGGCGACCGCTGGGCTGTGTCCTGATGAACTGGCACAGGAAAACAGGGGCACAGATAACGGACCAGTGTACACAAATGGGAGAGCGTTCCTCCTCGGCAGTTCCGTGATAATTGCAACGGTTGACACAACCTAAAGTTTCAGTCATGTTCAAACTGCCCACGTGAGAATACGGCGGAAAATTCGGTCATATTGAAACAAATATCTAGACCGACCTGAACTCGGATCACGTCCCGTCACTCGAAATGTACGAGTTGGAAGTTCGCTCGGGTAGCGACTGTATATTGGATGTATGGTACTTTTGTCGGATGAATCACCAGATACGATGACTCTCAATACTACACCTTCATCCGAAGCGACCTTCTTGGACAATGCACATGTTGGAGGAACATCCTTGAAAACCCCATCGATGAGTGATCTTCACATGGAACCGTTTTCCTAATACGACTAGAAAACCAGCTTTCAGAGAGAAAATGTTCCCTCTGTGGAATAGCCACTGTATATCAGGCGTGTCGGTTGTTGAGAGCCCGCTTTAGTTCCAGAATGGTGCGCATTTTTGTGCGCGCTCAGTCAGCCTGTCCACTTGACCATTAAGGTTGTAAAGCGAAATACAAGCTGGAAAAAATGCTGCGGTGAAATTGGTCTCCACTTAATTCTGTCTTTACTAGAAAAGTATAGACCTCTGGACCGTTTCAAGCCATTTCATCATGGGAAATAATCGTCTTACTAAAAACAAGTTGCGGATCCATTGTGAAGCAGTAAATTCAGACTAATCGTTGCCACCCAAAGTATTTGCTAAATATGTACGGGAAAACAGCACCACATGTCATCGAATTAAACTACTTATAAGGTTGCCGGAAACTCTTCGGCGGCCTACGACCGTTTTTACCCTTTTTCAGACTCAAAAGGTTGGCACCGTCCCCGAGTTTCTGTCAACTTGATGTGCTTAGTGAACCACAATTGAACAAAATTCACGAACTAAACTCATTTGCATACCACTTTGGTCCATTTGGGAGAATCAACGAAATCCCAGATGAATCACTCGTTTATGGCATCCTTCAACCGAATGTGCCTCATAATGGCTGCCTCATGTTTCAGTTGGGACGATATTCAAGATACCGAAGTATATTTTTTTGAGTGAAACTACTCATGAAGTTGCTGAAAACTCTTCGGTAGCGAAGCGGCCACCGAAAGTGCCTAGCGAATCATATCAACTTGTTTGCCAGCGAGACAAAGGAAAACTTCCAACAAACTGAACACAGTGCTTACCCCGAGAAAAAGACGAAATGAAAGAAAGATGGTGATCGATAAAGCAGCTCGATGCCAATAATCAGTAGGACGATTTTGAACAAAATGAGCAGGTCGGCAAGCCGCACATGAAAACAACAGCAATAGCGTTTCATAGAGAGAATCGATTCAGGAAATGTACGGCGCGTTGGAACTGTAGGCAATACGTTTGAGGCGGCGGTTGTCGTGGTCCATACGCGCCGAATCAAGTCTTCCGTCCAAGGCGGTCCAGAGTTCGTCATGACCTTGCTTTTCTTTTTCGTACGTGGCTCGGTTCGAGGCGCCGGCTGCGTCATAGCCAACCATTGGCGCAAGTCGAATCCTGTTCCCATAGATAACGCCTTTTGGTGGCTCCGGCCGTCTATACTGGAAGACGACTGCGATGCGCGAAGGTGTTTAGGTAACTCGGCAACGGCAAAGCCGAATTTTCTGGTGTGGCGACATTCGCTTAGAAAGGGCGATGTAGGGGAAGATTTGGAATCGAAATCACAGTCACACACGTAAGGTGAGACGACATTCATCCCGACCGGTGACTTTACCTCGGACGGAATCGAATCCAGTGAGTCCAACGGGAGTAGAGAAGATGCATCGCGAACTGAGCTGAACGAAGATGGGTTCCGTGCATCGGATGCTGATACGCGCGGATTGATGAGCATGACAAACATTGTGACGGTGAACCAGAACGTGACCAGAGGCATAAAATGATAGAACATATAGTCCCTGTTCATGACCAGGCACAGACCCAGAACAAGAAAATTTAAGCGAAACACAACCTGAATAGAGGGAGGGAATAGGAAAGATGCGACGGTCTGATGACTGGAGCAATATAGGACATCACGATCGACTAGAAGAGTTTTGAATAATCGGTAATATATAACTGTTAGCAACAGTACTGTCGACGGAATATCTATCGAACCGATTCAAAATGGATCGGTTAGGGCGTCCGTTTTCACTCCTGTGCGGTGCGGTTCATAAGAACAGTGTCTCTCCGCAAATGACTGCTTCTACTTGGAATAAAGCAGCCCTCGCCTAGGAAACAAGTTAGAGAAGAGAGTGTTAGGAAAAATTCCACACTTTTGCAAGGGAGCGAGAGTCGCTGTTCGAGATCGCCGTGCAACTGTAATAGACGTCAGCATAGTCTCGGATGGGCGTGGAGTGATAGTGTGGAATGAGAAGAAGCAGAAGTATGGTGCTGATGAACATTCCCTCGCCATAACTCAATCCGCTAAGGCTGTTATTGGACTGGGACTTCCTAAGGTCGCAGTCAGTGACTTGTGTTTGCTTGCCATTGTGGGTTCCCTGCGTACTTCTGACACTTTTATGCGTGGCACATGGCGTTGAAGGTACCTTTTTGCCATTTAATGTCACACCAGACCCAGTATGACGGTCACTTTGTGCCTGATGTGCGAGTCTTGACTGTGCTAGCGCACACTGCGCCTTGAAGAGCATTCACCATTGTTTGTCCTTTCTTTGGTTGTTAGTCTTTAGACGCGTGTTCCCATACCAAAATCTTTACATACTTTGGGATTCACCTCATCAGACTGGCACTGCCCTTGGCATGATCTCGAATGAAACGTTTCTCTCTTTTCTCCCATATTCTCCTGTTACTCTTTCGCATTCATCGCTTGCACTCACTTTTTATGTTTGTGAGCATGCTCTTCAAAAATAAATGATAATAGGCATTAGCAAAATAATAGAGTCCTAGCCTTGACCGATGACAACAGTCAAGATTATTATTATTATTATTACTAATTGATTTGTTCTACGTCCAGTGAGTCATATGTTTGCATCTATTCCACTGCGACCGAACATATGCGCAGAGCAGCCAAACAGGAATAAGAAACACGTTGTGCATGCAAGACATGTTCATACAGTAGTCTCTAGCTTCAACGACCTCCCCATACAACAAGACCAGCTATGAATGCCGAAATTGGCTTTGCGACTGACTTGCTTTGGCTAACGAAACGTTTCCTATCAGAGCGGTGAAGGTCTACGGATTTGAAAGGCACAGTTCTGTGCCGTCCTTCAACATGACTTGCAACACCCAAGACTTAAGAGATTATGATTCGACCAGTAGTTGAGTGACTGAGGTCCTCTCTCACCAACATGAGCACACCGCGCAACCTTGGAAAATTGCGGATAGGGATAATTTGGAGAAATAGCAACAGTAAATCAGCTTAAACCGCAACGCAAAACGGTAATAAGGGTGAAGTAACCCAAGGAAGGCTTGCACAGAGCAAGCTATCCAGGACTATCTCCCAGATATGTTATGCAAAAGTGCAGCTCCACTGTCACATACAGCTAGGCTACAGCAGTCATTTTGTCGTATCCAGTTCCCTGAGCGCTCACTCAGATACTTATAATGGAAACTGCCTGGAATAAGGCAATCGAAACCAGTTAGAAGTTACATCCTGGAAAACAGACTGTTTGTAATCTGCTCATCATCTCTGTCAAGTCACCATAAAAAAGCAAATAGAAAAAAACCCGTTTCAGTAGAACATGAATCAGCATGCACAGAACGTGAACCACCTACCGCAGTTTAGAATACTAGATGTGGTCGATACAATCATCTTTTTTCTAGTTCGGAATTCGCAATATAACCCGTGTTACATATCAGTGCTTAAATGAATGAAGATGTGCCAGATGCTCCGTCCGTAGAGGCCGTTTCCTAAGCAGACAACAATGCAGCCCGTAATTTAGCTTTGCACAAGCGAGCCTTTGAATCCAACGAACCACTCGTGGCACGAATTGGCAAAAGTGAATTGGGCGTTTCACACCCGTGCATCGACTTCATAGGGCACCCTTCTGTCGGGGCTAGTGCAAGCGTCGAGATATATAGAGCCACCCCCCGTGTTTCCCTTGAATTGCGGGGGGAGGGGGGCGGGGCGGTGACAGAAGCTATATATTTTGATGCGCGGCTTTGCGCTGCGTGGGCATGGTGGTGATTTGGTCAGATCTCACCTGCACCTTTTGTTCGTTTTCAAGAAGGGGCATGATGTCGCCTGAATACTTCAGGTGAATAAGGTTCTCGTCAGAAACGACTTTAACATCGACATCTGAAGACCCTCTGTTGCTCGATACAAATTTTCTCGGCGATTTGCGTAAGGCGAGAGGAGAGTTGTCATTTTTGTCCGACGGCACTTTTCGTGGAAAAGTTTTTGGACGGCTCCCATTAGATTCTCACGCGCCAAAAAATATGTGAAGATAGAGCAAAGATTGCGTTCATGAACTTCTGGTTGAACCCCTGTGGAATAGCGCCGTTAGAAATGACCAGCCGGCAGCAGCAAACACACCGTGTCAAAAAACCCTAAGATTGCCAGTAAAGCGCTTCTCAAACACAAGGCAAGGTGTGAAGATGTGGTCAAAGTAGCCTTGATTTGGTCGGAGCCACGCTTACTGCGATTTCACGTGTCAGAGAAACTTTTTATGAATGGACTCTACGGTTCCCACATTTGTTGAACATGGCACCATCACCGACCCGCTCCAGTTGTCTGAGACCATCGCTTTCTCCCAGACCAACGCAGTCAAGTTACCCAGGTACTGTTTGAGCAATTCAGTGCCATTCAAACAGGGCAGATTGTCCGGACCAGAAGTTTGGTGACATCCGACTAACGAGGTGCATTCGTATACTATGACGTTTTGCATTCACAGTAGATTTTCCCGCTACGGGTGTGCGAAGGAGAACGGGAAGAACTTGAGTGTTGTTTGAAGCATTCGGTCCTGATAGATAGCATACACGGATGCAGAATTTGGGAGTAAGCGCAGTTTCCTGTCCTGCTCGTTTCACAGCGACCACATCAAAGACAGCCAAGCTGACCGTGTTTCGCCTTTTGAGAATCGATGCGCGAAGTTGTTACCAGGAAAACGATTGGTGCCTTTAACTAAAGCCCATGGCATGGCCGCGAGGCGGCAGTTGCGCGTCGGCATATCACCGAAGTTGCATAAGTCTTAGGGAACGAGTCGTGGGACGCGTTTCGACATTCGGTTTGAGAGAACAAGAAACCGTATTCGCCGAACCCCTCTCCAGTGAGCAGCCTGGTATGAAAGACCCGTTAGGTGTCAGCTTGACGGCGGCACCGCGATAAGGTCCCTCGACAGTTTGTGTAGGAAGTTGAACCCATTGTGACCAACTTTCTCATTACTCAATAAGGGAATGAAACCGAATAACCAAATCGCCAGTAGTGTTTCAAATATTTTGAATATATTCTGGTTAAATCACTGTGTGGACAGTTGAGGGATTTACCCGAGCAGTTGCGTTCTCCTGTATCATCCCGTATCATCCCGATAATGACGACCAGTAACATAGTTCTGTCATGAATAGCTATCGCTGAGTGTTAGAAGATGGACAGTTGATTGATATTTTGATCAAAATATCAGCATTGATCACGTTCCATAAGAAACCAGAGTTACCCGGAAAGATAGCAAGCAACATATGTATGCAAATGAATGGTGGACAAGTGAAACACTCATATGAAAAGACGCTTTTATTCAAAGCTTCGGAAACTATAAGGAACAAATAAGTCCAAAGGCCAACGTCGAAAAAGTCGCTTGGATTTGACTGAGCGCACGACTGCGCAAACCGTCACACGACGGTAAGGTCCAGTCTCTTTATGACGGCCAGCTGTGATCGCACATTTGCCGTCTGTTGGAATTCGGTGAGCATTTTCCGTTTAGTTTGTTTACTAGGTTTATGGAAGTTGACCATGCGGTGTGTCGTTCGAGCTCTGAACATGACTTATTCCTGCGGTTTTATAAAAAACCCATTTCGAAAGGTACACTGGCATTCATGGGAGTAATGCCGGTTGTTCCTGCTACTGCAAGCGATGGAATTGGCGCACCAATGAAGTTGAAGAAAAGAGAACGAAAAATAACATGGCAGTAAGGGACAATGTACCGCCCACAGACGCTTCACAGTTGAGAGCGATAAAGATACTCAAACCGGTTCACATTTCCATAGACAGTGGATGGCAGATATAACATAACTTCAAAGAGGAGATAACGAGGAAGGATTCGTCTGCCGTTTGGCTTCGGTTGGCATCATCTGGATCAATAAATGTGCAGCTCTGAGAAAGGCTTACTTCCACCCAAATGTGATCTCACAAACAACGAAACAAGCACCATAGGAAAGGGCAGTAGAGTACACCCTAGATAGAATCGAACGAGAGCATTCTTGAGACCATGCAGAGTAAGTCAGTTCGATGGCACATGCAGTTGGGATGTACGGACCAGCAACGCATCCTGTTAGGATTAGAACCATCTGCATGACAAGCCACACAAGCAAACTATCGAGCTATGCATTCTCACCTCATTTCAAGCCAGATCTGAATAAATAACGTTGCGCGCCGGTTGTTTGCATTCAGTTGGCTATTAGTTCGTCATATTGTTTGCATGGATGCTCTGAAGTCGGCGGATGTATGCTGTGTATCGTGGTAAGGCGAAAAAAGAGGGATGGTTTGTTGTACCGCCTTCATGCATTTAAATCAGTGCATGTCATGGGCCTGTATACTCATTTGGGCCTCAGGCGACTGCATTTAAATCAGTGCATGTCATGGGCCTCAGGCGATTGGAATGAGTGTACGAAAAGTGCCACCAGTTGCATTCAAGACGCAATCTTGAATCAGTTGCGTGACCTTTGTTCCATTAGCCCTAAACAGACGGAAGCGCGAACACCTCCTTATCAAACCTAGGCACACAGTGGAAGACAGTAACACAATTCACGAGTGTCAGTTGCTTCAAACACTTGAGCCAACACTCAACATTCTAGTAGTTGGTGACTTCGACCTTTGAATCTCCTTTCTCCGTGGTTTGACACTATTGGGATGAAACCACGAAAATCTGACGCAGGATTTTGAAAGCGATCCGGGCACTTTACATCAACCTCACTGCAAGCAGTCCTTCCCTATAACAATCAGTCTCTAATGAGACCGAAATGGCTTTTCATTTCCTCCTTTCGAAGTCGCAACGGAGAGGAAAATCCGAACGAGACAACGAAAGCAGTTGTAACTTTGTGAACTCTGCTGACATCGAAATGCTGCTGCGGCAAGATGGGACAAGAAAAGTGCTCAAACGCTTTGGATCACATCATACAGAATAAAACAGGCATTATGGACACCGGGAAGAATTTGGTGCATTCCCAAGGCTGCTGAACAACAAATTTGGAAAAGGCGTAGTGACACAATGGATAAGTAGAGAATAGACTTACGTCTACGTAGCGACGTAACACATCCCACCATGCCTGAGCGGTGAAGTAAAGTCCTTGCAGTGAGAAGCGTAACTGAGGGGTAGAAAAAGTTACAAAATTATTAGAGTGAAGACTTCGAACAAGATTGTCTTCAGAGCTTCCTTAGTTGACTACATAAGACATAAAAAAGATGGATAAAATAGGTAGGCCGTCGCGTGGGTATCGATCATCAAGGATATGCACCATGATAGATTCAGTTTGGAGCATTCCGAATCACGTTCCCTGTACAGCTGGTTAAAGAAGGTCCGTGGGATCGTGAATTCTTGATGCCTCAAGCAAAACATGACTAGCCTACGATAACGGTCTGAGGTATTAGAACTTTGTTGAAACGTTTGAGTGAAATTCATACAATACTCAGACTGGGCTAGATGTTCTGTCAATGTACTGTTTAACCGCCAGGTGAAAACCGATGGCGTTTTCGACGAACTGTTATCCTCTCGATATATCTCCTTCCACAAGAACGGAAACAGATGACATTCTATCCTTCAGAAATTGAACTACGATAGGTATCTAGGTAGAGCTAACAGAATGTCAGTCAAATGAGCTGGGGAGGGGCTGACTAGTTCGGTGCATCCCAGTGTCTTCCATTGAGGGCTAAGAGTGTTTCCGTCTGTACCTACCTCGGAGGTTACCAGCAGGATGACTATGTAGAAGTCCTTTGTGAATAAACAGATCAACAAGAACATTCAGCTCATATTGAGCAGTAACTTCAGTGCACGTCCATCCGGTTCTATCCGCCACGCGGTCGATAAGACTCGGTTTGTTTGAGGGTAACAGAGCCACCGAAGTGAGTGTATACGCACAAGTTTCAAACGCAGGTGAGCTGTGATAAATGCCATTTAATTCAATACAACAAGGAGTGCTCGGACGCAAAGACAAATCGATGGAATTATGGTATTCACCAATGTAGGATAACAACCGACTTTATAGCCAAGATCGAATACGTTGTTAACCTCAATTCAGGCAACAGATTATACGCCTAACACCATTTGACGGTAGTGTGGGGAGATTGGGTTATTTTCAGGTGAAATTTCGTCCTATACACGGAGCCAAACTATGCTGAATAGCCAAGAAGCACTGTGCATCAATGTACAGTCAACAGATGACCCCACGATGCAGTTTCCGTGAATGAAGGATGAGTGGGGTGGGCTAATCGTTCAGATGTAGTACCTTTTCGGTGCCTGACTGCCATGCCACCAGAAGGAAGCACGAGGGCTGAGATACTGCTAAGTTGCCTGGGGTTAGACAGTGGAAGTCGACAGACAGAGATCAGGTTCGAACCACGGACCTTCCGGTTGGTAAATTCGTCCTCTAACCACTGAGCCATCTCGCCCCCCTGGGGTGAGCTAATTACAATGGTGATCTGCCGCTCGTGGCCGAACGGTTAGGTGTTCAAACGACTAGCCGGGAGGTCGCAGATTTGAAACTTTTTGTAGGTTCGTGAGATGCGCACTGATGATGATTCCCAATAAGGATAAAACAGCCGCGCAGTGCTTCTGGGCTTCTCAGCACAGTTCGGTTCGACTTGCAAGACGAAATTTCAATTGAGTGTAGGATTTTGAGAGAGATCCGCATATGACAAAACGTTGTGACGAAAATTGACTTGTACGTACACAGGGTAAGTGGCACCGCGAAGCCTAACCAGGTATGGCCGGGCTAGAAATACCAGAGCAAACCTTCTAATCAGCGGGCTAATCATGGATGATACAGCAGTATGAGAGCAGCAAATTTCGTAATAACAGTAGAAGCNAGTAGAAGCAGTTCAGCAGGAAATAACAGAGTTGTAAAAAAAGATCCAGAATAATAGACCCGAATTAATGAAAATTGTTTGGGACAGAGCAATCACGGCAAAATCATTGCATCTTTACTGACTACCCTACAGAAATTTGGTGTTCCACACTAACTGGTAGATAAGATTACTGTCAAAAGAAGCGTACTGCGGATAAAACGTCGTGAAAAAGAGACAAGGAGAAAAGTCAAATAAATTTCAGTGCAAAACCCAGACATCTATTGTTCCAGGTATAGCACATTTTTTGTGTAAGTCACTGCAGAAGATGAACGTATTAGACAATGCGCGGTTTAGATATACGCAGTCTTTGACAATGCGTTCTCCTTTCATGGTTGGGAATAGATAGGAATCTGAAAAAGATCTGTGGGCGCCCGAAATGGCACACACAATTCGTTCATCCGATCCGCTGGAAATGTGTAACCATAGCTGCATTTAGAGCATACTTTAAGGCCTGTCGACTCCACCTTGTAAACACTAACTGCCAGTATTTTTATCTGTTCGAAAATCATTGGTTGCTTTGGGGTTGGTGGCACCGGTGGAACGAAGAAGGCCTTCGCTGCGGAGTTGTTCATTACAAAACACCAACTGAACAGTTACAGACTATTGGACATGGAAGCGAAACTCTCAGTCCCAAAAGACGCAAAGCGGGGTTACGAGAAAACAAATTATTCGCATGACTCATCAGTAGTATCCAATGTTACACCGATATCGATTACAGCGGTGAAGTGTCAGTGTTGAACACTGATGTCATGCTGTCGATGATGATTATGATTACTGATATCGATGGGTGGATATTCCACACTGATTTTATTGAGATTAGATGAGGGGATAGCTCACCACATCGGCCTCATCACGGCTGAAACGCTGCACAAACAGACCCACCGCAATGTGATAACATAACTCACCAGCACTGGTAGATCAGAAAAGGATTTTGTGGTGTGTTGATTGAGTGGCACTGGAGTGTTCTGTAAGCAATCAACTGTCGTCCCCACTCTATTATCATCATCATCACAGACGGCATAGCATGTGTTCAGCACCGATGCTCTGCTGATGTACCCACGCCATCTGTCAACATATCGCTCAATGAAAACCAGATCCGTGAGAGCACTTGAAATGCCAAGATCAACCCAAAAACATTGAGCGTGAACAGTTTACAAAAACCGCCAACAGAAGGCATCGCTAAACAATATCCTTGGCTCAGTTATACCGAACATAGTCGCAACGCGTTACAGATGTCGCACCTTATACGATTGATTGGTTCACCGATGATCCGGAACCAAGAGGATGGAGAGTGCCTAATCAATACCGATCTCTTGAACAAACACCTATCGCGTTCGGCTGTTTTCACTGGGCTATCGAGAGGCATATATAATAATAACCAGTAATAATCGTTCAGGTATAACAACCTTCAGGTGCCCGACTTCCGTTCCCCCATCATTCCCGGGGGAAGCACGAGGACTGAAATAGTGCCAGGTTGCCCAAGCCTAAACACGAGCGGTCGAGATGCAGAGGTTAGTTTCGAACCACGAACCTTACGGCCAGTTTTTGCCTTAAACACCGAGCGATCTCCATTTCCGGTGACATTTGGTCAAACCGATAGGTTATTCTAGTGTTTGTCCGAACATTTTCGTTGCCCAGTTTCCGTACGAAAATCCACACCACAAGTTCTCCTGCATGTCAACTGATTATCGACCTTTTCGGATAGTCTACACAATGCAGTTAAAGGGCGGTTTCCTCATGGCAGGCATTTTCTGTGATGCTCACACCGACAAATCAAATCATCCAGAGTTGGTGGCCTTCGCAACGCTGCTACGATGTGCGAGAACTAAGGTGCTGTCAGATTACACGAGCGAGTTGGACGCTGGGGATGATCTAATCCTTAAATATCGAGGTTCCAATCAAGCCAAATAATATGGCTCGAGTGAGCACACATCTGAGGGGATTCGAGCCAGGTTAGACACCGAACGTTTGGCAAATAAGCTGATTCAGCTGGTTCAGTGCCGAACAAAAACGACCATAAAGTGAACGAGGAACATTGGAACACCACGTTTCAAATACTGTGAGTTATTTCAAAGCTAGAAGCCAGAGCGCTGCGAACGCAGAACCGGAAATTATGAGAAATTCTACCCTCTGCTTCATTAAGCGGTCATAATTGAGGGTTAAAGTCAAACAGAAAGAGGGAAGTATCAGGGTATAAAGCTTACCCGCAGGACCTCCCATATCAGTGATCCTGGCAGCGGACGGTGCCATAAACAGTAGAAGTGGCCGAATCCGGATAGGAAGAGGTACGCTGACGTAAAGAACCGAGTGAACAATTTCAGGGGCAACACCTACATAAGTGAGATTGAAAAGATATTGGAGACGTCATTGTGACAAAAAGCACAAGCAAAGCGAGTCGTTTAAGGACATATCAAGTGCTAAAGATTAGGAGGAAATCGGGCAGGTCATTAAGATGCAAAGTACGCGTCACAGCTCTCTCAATTTTACGAGACTGTCGTTAAAAGTGCCTGCCAAAAGACGCAATGAGGCAACCGAAATGAAACTCCACATTTGAACAGAATAATACCTTAAACCAGCAAATCGAAGGACCAATGAATGAGGTACCCAACCGTAGGGTTACCTATGAAGATTAATGCGTCAGTCGCGATGGAATTCAGCTCGAAGTTCTGCGGAACGCAGAAATATAGGGACAGGTAGCTTCAACAAAATGGCTCAAACAGTTCCAATCAACTACCACACAAGTAGATGAGACGAAAGCCTTAATAAACTAAGTTGAGTTCCCTCCGAAAGACAGCGCGAGACCGTGGATTGCCCATTGAACGTCGCAGGCGCTTAGTCATCAAGAAATCGGAAAATTGACTACGGTTTGCTTACACCCCCTTTAACTGTTATTTCGACACCTCTGCACTACCGAACGGATGATGCGAAGCGCAATATTGTGAGACAAATACAAGCCGACACCTCCTATTCAACTGCGAGTATGAAGTAAACTATTGTTAAATCACTGATAAAACTACTGTGGAATGAAAGAAGGCTGAAAACTGAGTTGGGCACCCAGGTAGGCCATTGTAGCGTGGTGGAAACATGGGGCAAAGACGTACGCGATAGGAGCCGGTGAAATGGTACACCAAGAGGTACAGTTGCATCCAACCTTTCCATTCCCGAGTGATATCAACATGATTGAGTCTCGTCTGTAGAAGAGAACAAAACAGAGTTTGGAGGAAGGTTGTGATTTCCTTTTAATACAGGGATTGATCACCACAATATTCTAAACGTGAATTCCGTGAATACCAAAGTATGATGGTTCATTGGTGATAGGGAGTTATAGGGATCAGAGAGCCAACTGCCACTTGATCTGCAGCTAATTAACACACCTCAGGTACCAACATTTAGATATATTGCCAGCCACCACTCACGAAAGTTATGAAGGCGATTGTATGTAATAAACCATACGCATATCCACATTCGGGCTGTTAAGCTCTTGTCTATAGCAGAAATATCACTTTACAAAAAGAAACCCAGTGAAAGGGACTGCATGAAATCAAGGTTACATACTGAGCGTGTGATCTCTTTTCTAGCCATGCCGGGAAGCTTTTGTATGGACCGATGACAATCTCTCTTGATGGCATGGAAGATTGAAACAGCAGAATATCGAAGACACGAAGGCAGATGTGGCAACATCATGGTGTAGCGGTGATACTACTGATGAGGAGGCACGCGAGTAGTATGTATTGTTCGTAGAATTTCGCTTTGCGTCTATTGAAAAAGGGAGATCTGTTGCGGAATTCGTGGAGCCACTTTGTAACATTTGCTTGGATTTGACCGACGAATGAGTGGAGTCAATGAATCTCCAGGAAAGTTCAAGAAGACTCGTTCGGGAGAAGATCGGTGTCCAGTTGTTGTAACTAAAATGCAGATTAGGGTTTTGCTTCCCTGTTCAATGGTCTGTAACCGGTCAGTTGGCATTTCCTAATAAACAACTCCGCGGCGAAGGCCTTCTTCCTTTCAATGGTAATTGGTTACCCTAGTCGAAGGAACAAGTTTGGAGGCAACCGCGTCTGGAGATTTCCGCATACGCCGCCAAATGCAAGGAACACAGATTAGTTGTTTGGAAAAAGAGCGATTCCGGGATTTGACGATCTCTACTTCGGTTGAAACCATGAGCTGCAAGCCTGTCGACCTATTTACTTGTTCACCTCAGCAGTCCATTTTTGATACTCTCTCGCACTGTCAAGTTAACCCAGTGGAATAGACTGGCGTCGGTTGCGAGACATTATGACGCGACAGATTCAACGGCAAAGTTGACCACATTTGACATCGCGCATTTTGACCATCAATCTGTGCAAATCTCGTGTTGCTACAGACAGGTTCTGACAGGCGAGAAACGCAACTGAGCGGCTTCAATAATAAGTCAAAATATATGGTTTTCACGGGAGACTCAACTGAATCCCTCGGTTATGATGTCCTCCAAATTTTAATAAACCATACGCATATCCACATTCGGGCTGTTAAGCTTTTGTCTATAGCAGAAATATCACTTTACAAAAAGAAACCCAGTGAAAGGGACTGCATGAAATCAAGGTTACATACTGAGCGTGTGATCTCTTTTCTAGCCATGCCGGGAAGCTTTTGTATGGACCGATGACAATCTCTCTTGATGGCATGGAAGATTGAAACAGCAGAATATCGAAGACACGAAGGCAGATGTGGCAACATCATGGTGTAGCGGTGATACTACTGATGAGGAGGCACGCGAGTAGTATGTATTGTTCGTAGAATTTCGCTTTGCGTCTATTGAAAAAGGGAGATCTGTTGCGGAATTCGTGGAGCCACTTTGTAACATTTGCTTGGATTTGACCGACGAATGAGTGGAGTCAATGAATCTCCAGGAAAGTTCAAGAAGACTCGTTCGGGAGAAGATCGGTGTCCAGTTGTTGTAACTAAAATGCAGATTAGGGTTTTGCTTCCCTGTTCAATGGTCTGTAACCGGTCAGTTGGCATTTCCTAATAAACAACTCCGCGGCGAAGGCCTTCTTCCTTTCAATGGTAATTGGTTACCCTAGTCGAAGGAACAAGTTTGGAGGCAACCGCGTCTGGAGATTTCCGCATACGCCGCCAAATGCAAGGAACACAGATTAGTTGTTTGGAAAAAGAGCGATTCCGGGATTTGACGATCTCTACTTCGGTTGAAACCATGAGCTGCAAGCCTGTCGACCTATTTACTTGTTCACCTCAGCAGTCCATTTTTGATACTCTCTCGCACTGTCAAGTTAACCCAGTGGAATAGACTGGCGTCGGTTGCGAGACATTATGACGCGACAGATTCAACGGCAAAGTTGACCACATTTGACATCGCGCATTTTGACCATCAATCTGTGCAAATCTCGTGTTGCTACAGACAGGTTCTGACAGGCGAGAAACGCAACTGAGCGGCTTCAATAATAAGTCAAAATATATGGTTTTCACGGGAGACTCAACTGAATCCCTCGGTTATGATGTCCTCCAAATTTCAGTTGTAAAACATCATATACGAGAGATTCAATTGAGTCTCCCGTGAAAACCAAAGTGACTTGCAAATGAGTGTATTTCTCGAAAACAGTGCAATTTGGGTTCAAGTAGATCATAAGGTTGACGGAAACTCGGGGACTGCGCCTACCTGATGAGCCCCAAGAAGGGTGAAACCGGTCGTGGGCTGTCGAAGAGTTTTCAGCAACCTTGTGAGTAGTTTCCTTTATGAAAAAAGTCAAAATATACTTTATAAACACAGTGCGGTAGAGAGATTAGTCACAATACCCATGCTCCATTTGCGAAGTGGTGAACGGTTCACAACTGACCGGTCTAATGGAGGTGAACGAAAAGGAGATATATTTTATAGCTGAAACACGGCACATGCAGAACCATTTCAAGTCGTTCGGGTTTACAGAGGTTTTCACCACAGATAACAAGTTAACACGTACTTCTTTCGTTGGACCACTGAAGAACAATCCGAGTACGAATAGGTAGGTCATCGGGAGAAGAAAGCTCATCGTTGTGAAGCCCTTGTTCGTTTTCATGAAGAGAACAGTTCTGTCAATGGTGAGAAAATTACCCGGAATAAAGAGTGAACTAGAAATGTCATGCCAAAGCAACAAATTATTGAAACATGAATGCGCGACATGAGGCGTGCTAGAGGATCAAGACCACAAATGTGCGGGTCTCAAATCAGCCTAATTTCGCATTCCTCCACGATGTACAACACCATAACTGCTTTTGGTTATCTAATCCGGTGACTTCAAAGAAGAACACACTATACAACATGATAAGTTTTCCTCACAATTTAGGAAGATGTGACTGGAGACTGTGACAATGAATCTCATTTGCTGATTGGTAGAAACACCCCTATCTCAGATCAGCAACAAACACAGATCAATCGGAGTTAACAGAGCCTCTTGGATTTTTACTGTGAAACCAAACGATCAATTGGTGGGCTGTGGCGCGGTTAAATATGACAATTGCTTACCTATCACAGATAAAGAAATAGACGAGTATCAGCCCGAATTGTGACAGAGTAGTGACAAGTTCATAGAACTCTTGAAAAGTTGTGCTTGCTTCCAACTTCCGCGAGCCGAGTTTTTGGGGATACGTGGCGTTTTCCACCAGAGTTGATCGGACACCCAAACAACATGACAAACGCAACCAGATGATTGATAGCCAGCGGCATCGAGATACTGATAGAGGGAGAGAGAGAGAGAAATTTACGGTAATTTGTCGCAGAGGAATTCAAAGTTGTTGACTTAACTTTCACAAAATGAGGATAAATCGCTTTTTACTTTTGTCACTAGCTCCCCATACGTTCAATTTAATTGTATTCCTAACGCAGTGCGCTCAACTAGTGGTCACTTCACCAACTATTGATGCGCTTATCTGTGCGAAGAAAATCCTGCGCGGAACAGCGAAAAGTAGAAGAAAATAAGAGGATATTTGGGTTGCTTATTGGCCTGATATGTCTGGGAGCGACTGNTATTTGGGTTGCTTATTGGCCTGATATGTCTGAGGAGCGACTGGACTAAGCCATTTGACGATTGTTTGCTGAACCGTCTGAGGTGGGTTCTGATTTGTCAAACTATCGGCCAATCAGAGTCAGACGTCAAATCACATGAGAACACGAAAACCATGCCTTGGTCATATGTGCTGCCTCGAGCTGACAAGTATTCTCAAGCACCTAATGGATGGTACAAGCCAGGGGTCACTACAGAACACTTTACTAACACGAAAAACAGTACACGGGGTTTGCAAGCGACGATTAAACTATAATAATGAAATCAAGCGGATCACTATATGTTTTATCATTCTCACATTGGACTTGGCCAAATATCAGTCTGGTGACCTCGATTCGGACGTCAAGCTAGGTTACAGTCTTAGGAGCCCAGCATTCGAACACACCAAAACATTCAGGGTGGGGTGGGTTGAAGAAGCATTTCGTGAACAGTGCACAGTAGGCTCAGGCGGATACTTTACAGCATACGAATGGAATGGGACAAAACATGAGGTGCTAGTTTGTGCAGACGAAAAAATAAGTCATTTCGGTTCGTCAACTTTTCTCTCCCTCCAGACAGGTCGTGAACGGTCACATAGGACGGAACCCAATCGCTTGACAGGTGAAAGTGGTCAAATCGTCCAACGGCGCGGACTTACTTCATCCGTAGCGAATATCATAAACCAAGTCCCGAACGACTGCAGACTAATTAGTTCGTCTCAGAAAGTGTAAAAATTGAGAGCCGACAAACCAACCGGCAGACGGAAAGTTGTACCCAAGACTTAGGCTCTACTGTAACCGCATTGTGTCGCACGAACTTGTTGAACGGACGCGACGCTAACGGGAGATAAAAGATTCCAGAGACATTCGACTCAGGTGAGGAATCAAAACAGGTAGCGGTGTTATTTGGTGTGCAAAGGTGTCTCTATTGCAACAACTTCGTCGCAGAAGAATTCGACGGGCTCAGAAGTAGGAAGGAGAACTATAAAGTAGGGAGTTTCCAAAAGACGAATTCAATCGGACAGGGCAACGGCGTGTGAGGGTAGCGGACTGTGAAGTACGCATACACCGAGGAGCCAAACTATTCAGTTGTCCCCACTTGAACTGTCAATTGTCAGCCATCAATCGGGCGACAGCTTTAGGGATGCCTCATCCCGCTCCTCCCCCCACCGCACTTATTCCGGAACAGGTATAGAGGTCACTCAGCTAATCGCGACATTACCTATTGTGCACATATTTCCGTCGGTGAATTTTGATATTGCAAACAAATCCTGGCTGCGGCTGAATCGTGTGGACGCAAAAAAGCACGAAAATAAAAGCTGGAAGAATGCCCACGAGGACGATCATTTTTGGAATTTACAATCGTAAAAATTCGTGTGAACATCAATATGAATGACAAGGCTGAAAACCGGCGATAATGTCCCAAGAAGAGCAAAGGATGGCATTATGTCTTAAAAACGTGCATTTCATCGACAGAATGACCAAAGATAGTAACTAGCGAAACTTCCCCCAGTAGGCAACCGGGAAAAACCACGTTCCATGACGCACACCTTACCGTGGTACCGCACACCTGGTGTGAAGCTAAAGTACACTTAATCGTGAAGTCGTGATGAATGGATTAGACATGAGGAGAGATAAATCAGGAAGGGAGTTTGCACAAGTCTACAAGTGAGAAGTGGGAGGTCGCCCCACGTACCCAGACACTCCGTCACGTTTTTGAGCAAGAGTAGTAAATATTGTGGCGTATTTCTTTCGTTCACATGTGAACGTGAGTATTTTGACACGAGTAACATGGCTGTTGTGGCAATCCGTTGCTTGCCAAGGTACTCTCACAAAATCAAGGGCATGGGATGTATGGAGAAATGGACGCGCGTCGAAACCGTTTGATAACACACGCAGTAATGACAAACAAGACCGAATCAACACGGGTCCAGATTAAAACTGGAAAGGACTTACTTCGCGACCGAATGAAGTTGTCGTAGATGAAACAGAGTATCGAAGCGATGATGCTGCGGGAAAGAGAAGTGTGAGCTGAGAAAAAGTCCAGGTCTGGAGAATCAAAAGAATCTGGGTAACCAAAAATAGAAAAACTGCAGTAGAGGAGATCTGCTCAGCCCCAACTAAAGATGTCACAGAAATACCTACAGGGATAAGAGACGCTTCATTGACAGAAACACGGAAGATAAACACAGTCCTATGTCGCCAATAAAACCATCTCAAAGGGATGGGGCTTCTCCACGCAGTGAGCATTCTTACTCTGCGTTCTGCTTGACCTCGCGCGATTGTAGTTGCGGGAATGCAGATCGCTAGGGAGCACCAGTTCCATGGTGTCTTGTCACAGGGCGTCTTCTTGGAATGCTGCAAAACTGTAGTGCACTTAAAGTTACAACCTTGTTAGATCACGAACCTACACGGCTTAGAGCAAACTGCGGACACTCGATCAGTTAGGGATGAAAACCAAGTTACTCGATCAACCGTGCAAGTGTTCGGAATTACAGCTGAAATGAGCTGGTAAGCAACAAGTGCAACGGCATGATAAGTCAGTAATGGGACAGCTGTAGCCAAGCGTTTTTCAGCAAAGTTCAAAAAGACAAACATCTAATTAGAACTAGGCTCAGTGGAGTCCATTCAGCAGCAAGGATAGGTAATGTATGCACATTTTGAGCTCAGCTCACGGCAGTGTTCAGAGGATATGTGGCTGGTTTCTACGTTTTAGATAGCGTCACGCCATCCTTCTGAAAGGGTTTGGCGTGACAGGAGCGCGATGGATAAAATACAATCAGGCGGTACGATGTAAAGGTGCCTAGGCTGGAACCATCGGCTGAAATATATGACGAAACCACGGTGGTAGTCTCCAAGGTGGAATTTAGAAGTACGGACTGACTGATGCGATACGATCGAGGAAACAGTCAAATGGAAACAAATAACTGATAAATAACCACGCAACTATAGCACTCTTTCGGTGCCTAGCTGCCTCACCACACGAAAGAAGCACGAGAGATGGAATACTACCAGGTTTCCGAAACCTAAACAGAAATAAGACAAAACACGAATCCACTCTAGGAACATGCAGGATACTTTCATGTGCATGTAAACGGTTTGTGTCGATGATGAATCTTCATACCAACCATTAGTAAATTTCCGCAAAACCATCCATTCAAACTTGGAAAAGATCAATAAAAGTGCAATGTGACTCCATTTTGTACTCCGGAGAAACAAATCATGGGTGTTCGTCTACATAGCCGGTAACTACTACTTGGAGGGATATTTTGGTTAAAACAGCAGTTACTCTGGATGGGAGTCATTGTGCGTCCGAACCGAAGAGTCGGAACTGAGGAAATAACACGTCTGAATGTGTTCAGTCAAGAATTAGTGATGGAGCTCGAGATAGCTCAGTGGTTAAGGCGCGAACTTACTGACCATGAGGTCCGTGATTCGAACTCAACTTCAGTATTTCGACTGCTCCTGTCTAGGCTTAGGCATTCTGACAGTATCTCAGCCCTCGTGCTTACTTCGGATGGTATGACAGCTAGGCATCGAAAGACTATTACAGCTGAACAACGATAACTAAATGATGCACTGTTTATGGAAAGGTTTGTACATTACACGCTTGATTAAATTACCAAGCAATGAACGGTAGCATGATACCTCGGGTATTCTGCTTACAATCCCCACATGTATATAACAAGAAAAACTAAGGAGACAACTTGATAGGGTAATGGATTGCTTGTATGCAAAAGACATAGTTAACGGTACTCCCTAAGCGGGACATGTTACAATATTGTGATGGAGAGTGTGGTCATTATGACAAGCAGACTGCTCAGTCCAAATCAATAAATCAAGTAAACCGATATAAACTTAAGGTGTCCGACCATAAGAATAAAAAGTGTTCATCCTCATTTCGATTTCGAGATAGCTCAGTCGTCGAGGCACCAACTTACTGATCGTGGTTCGAACCCGCGCTCAGCATCTCAAATGCTCCATGACCACCTGGCAGTATCTCAGGTCTTGTGCTTCCTTCAGGTAACATGGCAGCTGGGAACCGAGGAAGTACTGCGGCTGAGCGAATATTTGTATTATTTGGATACCTTCACCTCAGGCACATGGATTTCCACATTCTTTTGTTTCAACTGCCTCATGGTTGGCACTTTTATGTTTGCACGGCCTAGGTGACAAAACCCCCATCATACGGTGCATAAAAAGGACACTCCGTTTGTTCCTGGACTATCATCAATGTTGTTGTTGCGTTGGCTAAAAATCATAGGCAGCTTTACCTGGATTACGGCTTATCCGTGAGATAAGTGAAGGAGCCTAAGTGATAGTTCTATACTCCTGACTGGAGTTTGAGCCCAGGATAGAAACGGTCCAAAGGAGAACAAACAATGACTTAGCACTGAAGCATGGAAGCTATTATCAACAGACTTAGCTGCGTTGGTCATCTCCCTGGATGTGAACTCCAAGAATGGAAACAGCAAAGGTTGGAGACAATGTCGGACATGACCCAGTTACGCGCTCAATGGCGCGCACGCATCCAAGCTCTTGCCTGTATTGCATAGCTCTTCCTCCAGATCTCCCCACAGAAAAGTCCATTGACACCCTATATCCACACATCAATTACATCAACTGTCATCTTTAATGCGTAGCTATCAGCCCCCTATCTGCCAGATCATCGGCGAACCAAACTATGGCAGATATAGCCACAGTGCGACGTGTATGCGGCTTGACGGCTGGG